TTTGCTTGTTTATTTGATGGTTACTGGTATTAAATAGCATCTGTCCACACCTGAGGAGAGCATTAGTGAGGCTTATGTTGTAATATAAACTTACAAGCCATTTGTAGGCTTTTAGAAAAAGTAAAATTCATGCTTATTTTGATGTATATATCCTCCCCCTTGCTATTTTACCCACCGGTCCCTGTAATTCTGTGATTGCAGGGGCTGCACATGTGCAGCACAGACCTTTTCTGCTCAGCTGGTGGTGATTTCATTAGCAGGCAGGAGCTGCCTGTCCCTGAAGGGCTACACCGCGGTACGAACCCAGGTCTCTGACCTACCTGTTGGTCAGGAGACCCACGGATGGGTTGACCACCAGCTGTACGAGAGCCTTGGAGGCGAACAACAGCCCCACACGGACGTTTTCCTTGGCGAGGAACTCCTCGCCCTCCAGGCAGCCGCTCGGCACTGGGGGGCTGCTGGTGGGGGGCTGCGGTCGGCGGCTGCTCTCCGTCCCGTTCGCCAGCTCCGCAGCACTGGCAGAGCCCGAGACAGCCACCGTGGTGTTGTCAAAGTAGGAGAACATGGAGGAGAAAGGAGGAGCCTTCGAGGCTGGAGGAGCCGCCTCAGTCCAGGCCGGGGCAACAGAGCTGTTTGCGCCTTCGTATTCTGTTGTATAAAGGAAGGTGGGGACAATCGGCACTGAAAGAAAAGCAAGGGAAGGGATTAGTCAGTGATTTTTGCTCCATTTTCTGGCTCGGCACGCAGCTGAACTGACTGGTGCTGGCCAGATCTTGGTGTCCTGGAGGGTCCCTGCATGCAGCCCTCCCCACGGCTCTCCCTGCGCAGGGACCCCACCGGCATCGACCAGGGACCGACCGCAGAGCCAAAACCCGGGGCAGGACCCAAAGGGCACCGCGAGGCCGGCGCCATACCCACGACCGTCAGCAGCATGTTGTCCAGCAGCAGCGCGACGAACACCACCCCCAGCACCAGGCTCCGCGAGGCCCTGCCCGCTGCCAGCCAGCGCCGGGGAGCGCGCTCAGCGCCCGGGGCCATGGCCCAGAGCCCACAGCCCGGGGCCTGCGGGCACCTGCTCTTCAGGGCTGAAGGTCTTCTGTAAGCTTTAAAGAAAACACTCTGTGTTACAACCTCCCACGGCTCATGGCTTCTCCCTTGAGACAGCAGCTCCTGAGGTCACTTGGTGTCTATGTCCTCCAAGAGCTGGGCGCTGTTCCCTAGGAGCTGGGACCACCAGCTTTGCTCTCAAAGACCCTGGTTTTATCAAGCTTGCATTTAAAGTTGCAGATGGAGTGTGTTCTAACCCATCTCCACTCTCCTGAGACATCCTGTACCTGCTTCAAGACATCATTTTAAGTCTTCTTCCAAAGACTCAAAGCACAGATCAAGCCGGCAGTTTATCTGAGGTAATCTCTACATCTTCCATTCCATGTTTGTTCTTTGGAGATTAAATTTGATCTCAAAGGAAATTCATTTACCCTACGTGTCTTTTCATTTGACCTAATTGAAATGTCATGGTAAGATACAGGACTTAAAAGCCTAACATACGTGATTAAGATCAGAACTTCAGAGGAGCTGAGAGAAGGCTGCCTGCTTGGTCACATTGAAAATATCAATCAGAAATTTGCACTAAACCAACCAAACAATCAGCCGTTTGCATTCTTATAGCTCTTAGGCACTTCAGAGACTTAAGTGGCAAAATGAATGGAGCTGAGTCCCAACTATCACTCTTTCCAATAATCCCGTGGCTTTCTGAAATCCCAGGCAATGATATTTACCAGTTTTTAAGTAAAACAAGCAAACCCTCCAAACCTTCTACCATCAAATACGAATGCCACACAAGTCACTAAGTTGGGAAGCAGGGATGGTTTCTCACTGTACCTCCAAGTACTAGTAAATACCAAATAATAGAATTAATGCAAGAGAAGAGATACATGTATACAAAAATTAAGAGAGAGAAAGAGTAAGGAAGCGTAGACAATAAAGACACATGGACTAATGCAGCCCTTACATCTCAAACCCCAAACCCTGTCCCCTTCTCGATGCCAACCTGTTGCGTGGAGCAGAGGAAAACAAACTCTTACCCTGGAGCCCATCTTGGTGCAAGGAGCCGAGCGCTGCTGAGGGAGGTGGTGTGCTCTGCAGCCTCTGCTCCCGAGGATTTATGATTACCTTTTATCAGAAGAGGATATGAGTGTCCCTCTTCCGTGGAGATTTAATTGGAACCTCAAACAAGTTTCATTCAGCCCTGCAGCTCCCTTTGCGTCAGAGCAGGCCTGGGTTGGGCTGAGGGGGACTGGGAGGAGAGAGGCCGGAGTGTTTATCTGCGGCAGAGGCACCAGCTCTCCAGGCTTTCATCAGCACTTATCTCTCTCCAAGCACCTTAACTCTTGCCTGGGTCTGAGCACACCGAATGTGCCTCCCTGGGACTGCGGAGCCCTCTCTGCCCCGGCGGATGGTTCGGAGGGGCAGCGAACAGATTCATCACTGGGAGGCAAGGCCGGCATCGTTAAATGGCCCTGGGAGATGCAGTTATAAAATAGGTGATAGTCCAGGTCTTGGACTGATGGCCATTCTCTTGGTTGGGACGCCTGTCCACAGCCCCTCCCTGTGTGTTATCCTGTCTGCTTTATCTCCAGGGACAAGGAGATATTTCATGGACCAAGGAGGATGGTTTCTCATAAGCCAAGCTGGATGAAAAATGATATCCATGCATGGGCAAGGTACTGCAAATGCCATTTACAACGTGATATCTTTTCTTCCATAATTTCAATTTTCTTAAACTTTTGACACTTTGCTCCATGATTTCTTTTTCGAACCAAACCTGATACCATCATTCATTCAGGATGCAGAGATTTACTGCAGAGAAAGAAAAGAAATCCTAAACATATTCACCTTTTCTCTGTTGGCGCGTAGATCTGCCATTGAGGCTATTTGTCTGCCTTCTGCATGGCCAAATCTATTGCTAATAACGTGAGATGAGTACATCCTACCAAGGAATTCCCTGGGTGTGCATTAGAGCAGAAGCCGAAGCCTTTAAATATATTTCATGAGCTGAGAATTGAATGCCTAGGCCTGGAAATTACTTTCTAAACATCTGCGAAGTATTCAGAGAATGAGCAGTGCAGCACTACCATCTACTGAGGGAGCTCAGAATTGCTCAGCTATACCCCGAGCTCTTGGGTAGAAAATAATTTTAGATTGTCCTTCAGGTGAAGAGGAGCGTGTGGAGACAGTTATTATCTTTTTCTTTTGTAGGCCCCAAGGTCAGGGGACAGTCCTAGGTTGTTGTGTCACTTGTTTTGCAGGGATGATGGGAAAGCTTACTCAGCTGTGCTTTGGAAGTATTTCCATGTGTCTGTCAGATTTTTCCAGGCAGTTAGGCAGTTCTCTTCCTTTTTTTTTTTTTTTTTTTTTTTTTTTTTTTAGCCATTAGAAACGTTTGCCATGAATTTTTCCTTCAATAACCCTACGGAGAAAAAAAAAAATTACTACAATTTTCTTCCTGGCCAGACTGAGGTAGTAAAGTATAGTGAACATTTCTGATGTAATGAAAAATATAAGAGAATTTATGGGCTGTCTCGAGGCCCAGCATAGGATGTGTGCCTGAAAAACTGCTGCCAGCAGACCTCACACGGGCTCTGCAGGCTGCCCGCAATTCCGGTGGATTCAGACGACAGCAGACTTCGCCCGGCGAGATTGCTCCGTGCTGCTGACTCACCTCAACGGTGCAGCGAAACACATCTGCTGGGCGCCGCGGGCCAGCACGGAGCAGCATTTTACAAACCAGCGTGAGACAAACGGCTTAGAGGTGTAACGCCACCAGCCTGGGGTCGGGTGGACACGACGGCATAAACACAGATGGGAACAGGCACCCGTAAAATCATGCCTTGCTTTAAAGTCACTCCCTGCTAATATTTCCTTTACCAGGAGGTTTCTGCCACCCCGCAGAGGTACAGTGACCGCTGCCTGTAGCCTTACGCTCTCGGGTGGGTGAATTTACATTGTCAACTGTTGTTTTGTTGGTAGTCCACGAGGCGAATTTTCTCAGCCTGTGAGACTAGTTAAGAACTGAATAAAAATACCGAGAACAGAGAGTGGTCTGTTTGGAGCAGTTGGAGTTTGCATCCCTGGGCCACCTTTTAAGCCGGGCTTTGAATGCAGGTGGAAGCCGTTTGCAAAGTGGCGCTGGCTGAAGAAACCCTCGAGGCTGGCGTTTAGCGAGTCCTGCTGGTTTGTATTTTGTTAAGTCCTTTCAACTATTGACAAACAGGCGAGCTCGGTGATTTGCTCAAGGTCATGTTGCATTAGAAGGAGAGCTGAAACCTGGCCAAAGCCTTCCAGTTTTGTGTTTAATCCACTCAATGGCATTTTCCCTTTGTCTGGGGATTATTTATTGTGTTTACTCCCTCCTTAGCCAAACAGTTTCTTGTGCGATTGTTTGGGGTTTTTTTTTCCATCAGTCCCACAAGTCCCTGGTACTTTTTGGCCCCTCCAACCAAGCACAGAATTGCCAATGTCCCTTTAAAAACATACTCCCCTGAAGTATTTCCAGTTTTAATGCAGAAGAACATAGGATGTTGTTTTACAACATCAAATAATTCTGTCTCACTGCTAAGCTGGGAGGAGAACAAATAGCAACCATTAAAATGTAGCATGTATGGAGTGATACATAATCCATAAGGAAATAGAAGGTTGAAAGACAAATGGTTTTCTGGAAAAAGGTGTTTATAAATAACCCACTGTCTTTTTCTTATTAAATAAAGGGTTTAGGGGGTAAAGCATCTCCTTCTGTCCTTTAAACAATTGTACCAGCCAGCCCTTGATGTTGGAGTATGTGGCACCGCTGCAAGTGGGGGGTTTCCATCGGCAGCCCCATCTCATGGCCAGATCCTGCTGCATTTCTCATCTCCTTCTCCCCAGAGCAGCACCGTTACACCTTTAGCAAAGCGCTAGCTTTAGAGGAAGCGTGTCCGTGAGAACAGGGCTGAGGCGTGAGGATGCCCGTGGAGGGTGGGGGACACCAACCACCCGAGCTGGGGCAGCCCCGAATGCCCCTCGCGGCCCTGGGCTGGGGCTGGCCGTGCTGGGGGGTGCCGGGGCAGGGGCCCAGGGCTCTGCTTTCCTTTCACGGCAGAATTGCTCCTTTTCTTGTGTTCTCAGCCATTGAGCCCTTCTGTCAATTCATTAATTAATTAGGCTGCTCTCTCTGCCTTCTCCCCCTCCTCCTTTCTCTTTTTCTCATTTTCTCTTTTTATTTTTCTCTTTTTATTTTTTCTCTTTTTCTCTTTTTCTCTTTTTCTCTTTTTCTCTTTTTCTCTTTTTCTCTTTTTCTCTTTTTCTCTTTTTCTCTTTTT